TGAGATTTCCGAAGTTCCGATTAGTTACTTGTGTAGATCTGGTACTCAATCTACACGGGGTTCTTACTATTCAGAACTCCTGACATCTTAGTTCCGTGCGAGGTAATCTATTTCTRATATCGTAGACCTCTTACGATCCTCGGACCTCTTACGTGWTCAGTGTTCTTATGATGCATCCTATGATACATACATAGGAAGCATACCTTAYGATAGGTACGTAGGAATGGTATGATCCTTCATTCTTTTCTTCGGAGCTTCGTATCGTATACGTACGTACGGTATCCGTTGCAACGATATTATCGTAGATTTGCTGGCCAACTCTATGCGATACTCTTTGTAGATATAGTATGCTGTAGTAATGGCCATGATAAATTTCAACATGGTAGTATTTCCAAGATTTGTAATCGATGTAGGCTCTGGAGATGTATGCATCAATATGGTCCAGTTTTCCATAAGTAATAGAGATAAACCTCCTCGCCGCAACAAGACTCATACATTTCAATGCCCCATCTACTCTTGTCTGTCCCCCTTCCCCTTTCCTTTCTGATGAATGTAAAGAGAGGAAGATGAAATAGAGTTCACTGATCCTAAATTGCAAGTTCCAGTGCTTTGAGAATGAGGCCAATGCTTGTTGAGATGTAAAGGCTATTGTATTTGCAGGGTATCGCAATTTGCGAGGTAGCCATTTGTCTGGTTATCGTCCTTCGTCTGTACGTCGTTCCCGATTCCCAATCTTCAACAAGATCTGGCATCACAGGAATGGCCCAGTGATCGAATGTGAAATCAAAACCAGATCTTGTTTCGTCAACATCTCAAACATAATACCGCAAGGTAACTCATGCGGCGTTGTATGGATCCTAATCAAGCTTGATGTTCAAGGAGGCCGATATACACTTTCAACAAATACAATTGCGGGTCCCTCAACCTAGGGACAAAACGAAGAAGGAGTCTGACCCACACATAAATACGGACGTACAGAGGGGCAAAACAAAAACATGTCTACCATGAAGGGATTCGTCGTTTCCAAAGCGGGAGATACACACGGATCACTCAAGGATGACCTTCCGATTCCTAAGCCCCTCCCCGACGAAGCTTTGATCCGGATCTTGCGAGCAGGGATCTGCAACACCGATCTGGAAATCCTCCAGGGCTACATGGGATTCACGGGGGTTCTTGGCCACGAATTTGTGGGGATCGTCGCGGAGGTGAATTCCAAGAGCCAGGAACTGAGAAAGCGGTGGATGGGAAAGCGAGTCTGTGGAGACATCAACATTGGTTGCGCTTCCTGCTGGGTTTGCACCAATGCTCCCCACGATCGGAATTTTGCCGGGTGCTGTCCCAAGATGAGCCGGAACCACTGCCCGTACAGGACGGTGCTCGGGATTCTGAACAAGCACGGAACCATGGCAGAATACCTGACACTGCCCCTCCGCAATCTGCACGAAGTCCCGGACCACGTTTCTGACGAGGTGGCTGTCTTTGCCGAGCCTCTGGCAGCCGCCTGCCGGATCGTCGAACAAAACCTGGTGCGGTATAAAGACGAATCTGGAAGGGTTCCCCCCGACAAGGTGGCTATTCTTGGTGATGGGAAACTCGGATTGATGATTGCCGAGGTATTGGGAAGGGAACACACGGCGAGACTCGGTAGCAGCAACGAGGAAACGAGTGGGGACAGTGACAACGTCAACGGCTCGCCCTACCCCCAACCCGTGCTGTTCGGAAAGCATTCTCACAAACTGGATCTGGTCCGGGAAACAGCCGGCGTCGACTGTAGGTCCGTGACCGAATGCATCGATGCGTCTCGGTTTTCGGGCGTCGCCTCTGAGCACGAACATCGGTACGACGTGGTCGTGGACGCCACCGGGTCTCCGGCCGGCCTAAAGCTGGCGGCGGGCATGTGTCGGCCAATGGGGACCCTAGTGCTGAAAAGCACCTGCGCGGCCGGAACCGATGGCTTCAACGCGGCCCCGTTGGTCATCGATGAGCTACGGGTGGTAGGATCGCGGTGCGGCCCGATCGATCGGGCCCTGGAGCTCCTGGCAATTCCAAACCACGGCAGAGGTGCGAGCGAAAATGGCAGCGCCACCCTCCAGCCACTGCGAGCCGAAAAGTACATCACGAAGACCTTCCCGCTCTCGGAGGCCGAAGCTGCGATTCGATGTGCGGCGGAGCGATCGACGATGAAAGTCCAGATTATTTGTGGTGACAGCAATACCGATGCCAAGCTATAGCGAAACATCTCTCATCGATGCATCTACTCAAACGTCCACCGGCGCGATGCTGTATGGAACGAATCCAGAAGCACTATTTATGAATGTTTTATTTACCTCTAGTTGACCGGAACGGGGTTATGCAAGCCAACAGCTGCAGCTCTTTGGAAACGTACATCCGCTTCTTTTCGGCTTTCGTATCAAATTAATTCCAATAGGATTAAGCCGTAGGACTCTGTGTTCAACTGTTTGTAATTCAGTACATAGGCAGAGTTTCGATTGGACAATTTCGATAAGTTTAACTCTATTCAAAAGATATGATGATTGGGAATTTCGAAACTGTAAACAATATTGTTAGTAAAGCGTTTTGAGTTTCAGACTGAGCTGAAATAGTGCTAAGCCAAATCAAAAGGAAGTTCTTCTTGGTAAAACTGTTTGTAGTAGATGAAGAGGAGTATTTCAAATTGTTTTTTGTTGGTACGAGGACTTGCATTCAAGATTTTTACGCTAACTGTTGGAAGATTTATTCCTACTACTAGAGAAACATATTCTTTTGCAACTTTTGACTTTTGGCTAGCCACTGCTGTCCTTGGTAGAATTTCCCTCCTTGTCTTCTTATAGTACTACTAGTACTAATAATATCTGTACCAATAGAATGATATATGATTATTGGGTTTCCTACTTCTTGCTATGCCATGGAACTTCTTCAGGATAGAGGACTTTCAGGTGTCTTTCAGGAAGTCACTCATTTTTTACTTGCAGGGCTTGTCTTTCTGCTACCAAGTTACAGTATTTTTGGTGATCAAAAACTGTACTCAGGAGCTTAAAATCTGCCTTGTTTTTGTACACCAGAAAAGTAAGTATATACCAAATACAGCAGATAACTTAAATGATAGTAGAGACCAAAGTACTAAAAATAATGGGCACTTCTCATCAACATAGATTCTATGTAATTATCACCAAAAAATATGTAAATATGATGCAAATATACTTTAGCTTTTTGGTAGTCCATGCTCATGGACTTTTACTTACATCCATTCATAATTTTGGAATCCTGGATTCAACAATTTTTAGTCACTGGTGCCCACCAAAGAAATATTGAGAACACAGCACCATGGTGGTGGTGTCAGCAACCAAGCCAAAACAAATCTAAAATGTCAGGTAAACATGATGTCAAGAAACAGGTCCACCACAATTAAGCAAATCTGTATTTTTATCTACTACTATCATGAACTAGCTTCTATACTCAATAAAAGGACCACAAAGACAAGGACAAAGAACCCTGATGGAGTCATGTCAACAGTAATTACTAGTACTAAAAGTTGAGAACTCTGAGAACCCCAGCAAGAACCCCAGGGAGAAATTGCACCTTGGAATGTAGTAAAATTGCTTGTAGTTTGAGGTGTCCATTTATGCGTTGATTGATGCACACATAGTATCATAGTACCATCACCACCACCACCACTACTACTACTACTACTGCCTACTACTATGAACATACTACACCAGTACTACTAGTACTACTACTAGTAGTAGTAATGATATTCTCAAATAACTACCTTTTAAGAACAATTATTCTGCTACCCTATGGTATCAAATATATGTAACAGTAGTAGGCCCACATTGCTAACTTGTAGTTGAGAAAATGTAATACAAACCGTGTTACTATTATTAATGATCAATGAATTCTTTAAGTGCTTCTCATGAAATACTATTTACTTTCCGTACATATCCGCACGGTATGATTGGTTGGTCATATCCACGTTTCAAGTTTCATTCGTGCCGGAAGTGGGAAGAAATCCCTAATTTTTTGACTTGCCAGTCTCCCGCGATGATTAAAAATGTTGTGCCTTTTGTTTCTGTGGCTCACAGTCCATATTGGGGCGCCGCGAGGTTCGTTTTTCATTCACGCCTACCCTTCATGGCAGATTGAAAAAGACGTGTTCTAAAAAGCCGTTGCGTCTACTCCGATTTCGAGCCAATCAGAAACCAGAGATAGAACACTACTCTTGCAGTTTCATTCTCAAGAAAACTTCGATTTATGAAGGCCTTATGATTAAGTACGTCGACAATACGTATTTACTTCCCGTTAAGTACTATTGCAAGGCCGTCAACGTATTTTCGTTCAAAACGCAAGCTGCTCACAAAATTTACTCTCATTTCGGACCTTCTTCTGCTCTTTCGAAGCGCAGTATCGCACCAAAGTTATAAGAGTCCGACTCCCACTACCCGACAGTCTCAACGGCCATTTCATTTTTAATTCTTTGGCTGTTTGCAGCAGAGAGAGGAAAAACTGATCACACACGAATCACCCACAACATTTCAAACCTTACAAACCTCAGCGCGAAAATCTTCCAGCTCGCCTCTCCTACAGTTTCCCTCGGCGTTCACACCAGAAGTCACGACGAAAAAGTCCCAATCTCCCGCACCGCCGATGACCCGAAATAACTTATCGCGAAGAATGACAACCCTCGGAGTTGCTACACTTGCATATGCTGCTCTAGTAGCGCCTATGAGTACCTCGGCATTTATGAATCCTACCTGCACAGCAAAGAAACTTTCCGGCCCCACTGCCACAACTCTCTATTACATGCCACTGGATCAGGTATCGGACTTTTATCAAAATTTTCCCCTCCAATCTGCCGTACTCACGTGCGGAGTCAAAGCATCCGTGGCCGATACCATCGCGCAGGTCAAACCCCAACTCGAAGAGCAGAAAAACGAGCGACAGCAGCAGCATGAGGCGTCCCTCTCAACCTTTTCACAGAGGGAAGGAGGAATTACACAAAGAGCTCCTCGGCATGCATCTGACGATAGTTTGGAGGAGCAATCGCGGCATCGATTTGATTTCGCAAAGTCGGTTTCCTCGGGCAACAAACAGTGTATCGGCTGGGAAGCTACTCGGAATCTGGCCTATGTCCTGTACGGGGGAATATTTGTGGGACTCATGTCCCACATCGAATACAACATGATATTTCCGGCCATATTCGGGCAGGAAAAGACGTTTGAAATTATTGTGAAAGAGGTTTGTTTCGACAATCTCATCGTGGCGCCCACCATGTGGCTCCCGCCGGCCTATTTCATCAAGGCGTGTGTCTACAGTGCGTCCTCCGACGAGGACTCCGGTCCGGGCGGAATCTTCCGGGAAGGCCTAGAAAAGTACCTCGCGGACGTCAGGGACAACCAGCTCTTACAGAAGTACTGGTCCATATGGTTCCCCGCGCATAGCATTTCCTTTTCGGTGGTCCCGGACCACCTGCGGGTGGCATTCATGGCTTCGATTAGTTTCTTTTGGTTCATTTTGTTCTCAAGCGTATCGAGCCAGGGGGATGCCGGAGCTGGCGAAAAAACAACCAGGGTACAGTAATTGGTGTGCCTGCCAACAATTTTCATCTATGTGCCTACAAAGAGTCAATATAAAGAATAGAAAAATAAAACATAGAGCTAGATTTGATTCATATACTGCTGAAAACATGCCTTTGCGGAGATATATTCGAGCATTCTCGTAAAAGCATCAACAGCGGAAGGCAAGGCATCTAATAATTGGTTCCTCCTTTTTGTTCAGAAGATGAATTTTCCTACCATGTTCATCCTTTCTAATGAATAGATCTTCTTTGTGCAAGGAATAGAGGAATGGGGAGGAAAACAAAAGACCCCAGAGGAGAGTCACAGGAGGGACAGAAGAGCCCCTAGGATTGTGATTAGGAAATATGCAGACTCACCACCATCCTGTTCAGTGATTTCCTTCTTCAGCCTTCTCTAGGATCTCTTTTTTGCTTGAGGAGCAACGTCAGTTGTGATGATCTCATTGACCTTGTCACCAGTCATGTTGGAAGTTGATACTGTGTTGCCCTCCAAGACCTTTACTACTACATCCTCATCATTGATGTAACCTTTCACTGGATCAAAGGTTTCTTCTTGAGTACCAAGATTTGCTTTTATTCCAACAAGAATCAAGCGACGGGCCTCTCTTGCAAGCTTGACCAACTCAGGGACAATTGGATTTCCAGTCGGTGCCTTCTGCCTCCTCAATTGATTGAACTTGGTTTTGATGGAATCCTTTGTTCTACCATAGGGATAGCTCTGCACATGTCTGTGAACCACCATGAGCCAGTCACCCTTACCAATGGTGGGGAGGATCTCCTTGATGAGAGTCACCAATGAGATAAGCTCATCTTCTAGGTAGTTTGCAGTGCCGGCCTCACGGCCTGACCCCTCTAGTACTTTTTCTTGTCCTCCCTGGGGAGGCACTGGTGGAGGCACTGGCAGAGGCAAGCAGTCCCTGTTACACAGAGGAATAGTGGTAGTAGCATAAGGACTGGACTGGTGGTTGTCATCTTTGCTTGAGGAATGTATACTGTGAGAGGAATCTTCCCCCCCCCCCCTCCTTATGTCAAGGGGTCCTTGAGACAAGAACAAGAAGACCTCCAGCTGTTGCACCTCTCTTTGTTTCAATCTAAGATATAGAATAACAGTGACAAAGACAAGGGACATTGTTTTGCTTTATGACAATGATGTTGTTGTCGCCTCCATATGAAGACAGGCACAAGTTCTATTTGTAAATTTATTCAGTCTTAGATTTGGTGGACTATTTCAGTTGAGTCTTTCAACAGATTTTCATTCTTGGATTCCAGACTAGATTTAGACTTTCTGTCAAGGGTGAATTCAGCTTTGACAGAAAGTCAAAAATTTTGGAATTTGGTCTATTTTTGGTCTGTCTGTACTATGTAAAAAAGTAGACCATCTGTCAACGTACAATTCACCCTTGATGGAGGATCTAAATCTACTACTAGTCCCAAATCCAAAAATGAAAATCTACTAATCCAAGAATGAAAATCTTACTGTACTTCTTTGTATTCAAAAAGCAGGCACCCCTCCTTTTCAGTCCTCCTACACTACTAGTAAGAAGTGGATTCCAAATTCTCTTGAGACTAGTAGAATAACGACTAAAAAACGTCCATCATTGAGACCCTGTTTTTAATGATTTCTGTTAAACAAAAAAGTCTAAAATAGACCGTTTAGACTCTTGTTAGACTCTTGTTAGACCCTTGTTAGACCCTTGTTAGACCCTTGTTAGACCCTTGTTAGACCCTTGTTAGACCCTTGTTAGACCCTTGTTAGACCCTTGTTAGACCATGCCAGCACGGGACTTGCACTCAGTAGATTTATGTTGGAATGCATTGCTCGTTCTACAGTACCAGGGTACGGTACCAGGGTACGGTACCCTACCTTGATGCATTTTTTCGTTTTTCTAGCTCTCACAAAACAATCGATGGTGTCACGCTTTATTAACGTAGGACGAGTACTGTCCGGTACGTACCGTACGACATAATCAACAGATCTACGCTACGAGCGCTGTCGGACGTGGATCAGTTGATACCGAATATTAGTAAATGGCACCACACACAACACGGCCCGGAGAAATTTCGTGTCACGGGCAAGGAACTGAAGACCAAAGTGGTGGCGAGAAAGGTGCCTCCCTCTCTTTCTTTCCGTTTTCTCTCTCAATGGCAGCGGTTTCTTCCGTTTCCGCCGTTTCCTTGGTGCTTGGCAAACCGCGTACACCGCCACGCTCACCGAATGCGCAGCCTGCGTGTGGTAGAAAGCAATGGTTCCAACAAACGACCGAATCAATCGATGACACCGTGGCGGGGGCATTGCGCGATTCGTCCCTGTTTTGCGACTCGTTGCACTGCATCGTTGCACGGCACATCGCATCTCGTCTCACAATCTTTTGCTCGAAGCCTTTTGCAAGTATTCCATCGCTTCCGTTCCTGACGAACAAGAACAAGATCAAGATCAACGAGACTGCGACCCAACCAATCTCTTGATTCGTTCGCTCGTTCCGAGAAACAACGCGGAAGACCACGCAAGACCATAGGAACAAGACCAACGCCATGCGACTCCTCCTTGCGACCCATCGCAGCAGCCCCCCGTTTGTTGTTTCTCCGCGCAAGATTCTGGACTTTGTTGTCGTCGTTACAGCCATTGCTTCCGCCCTTTGTTCGGTGCCAATCACCCCGGCGCGGGGCGTCCGGGTTGGCGCAAGAGACCGAGCGGCCGGTACACGAATTGGCCCACGCTCGGGTCCAACAAACGAACGGGAGCCACACCGGAGCTCCTTCTCGGAGTCGCCAACAACTACTGTGCCGCAAAGCGATGGCCCTGGCCCTGGCGCTCGCAACCGCACGCCTTCCACGATGCCTTCTCCGCTGCGATCCAGCTATGGGGCGGTTCCACCGACTCGGTATTTCCACCGAGGCCGGATTTTGAAAACAGCAGACGATCTTCCAAAGTCCTCCGCCACGATGAACCCTACCAGGCTTGGCGATGTCCGTTTTGGCAGCAACAAAGGCGACAGCGATAGCAACGACGAGAAAGACCCAAAAGAAGACCGAGAGCACGTGTCGTGCAAGGATTTGCAAGACGAAGCCACCTTTCGTTACGGCTCGGATCCTTCCAGGGACTGTGTCTGGGTGGCCGAATACCCCATCCGCCGGTGCCGAAAAATCGATCCGATTCGAAACCAAAAGACTCGTGTGTTCTGTCCCTTGACCTGCCACAAAGAGTGCCGTGTTGTGGACAAAATCATTGACGATTTTGTTAACAACAACAATGTCACGGGGGGGATCAACGGTACCGATGTCGACACGCACAGCGCTGCTCCAAGTGGCACTCCAACGGTGTCCTTTTTCCCCTCCGAGGATGCCTCACTAGTTCCCACCGCGATAGACGAGGGCGTTAATGACGTCGTCGAGGAGGATGTGTTCGATCCGTCTTTGTCGCCGTCTACCCTCCCAACTACGTACATGCCGTCCCCGGGTCTGTTTGCCACGGCTGCACCCACGGTTGAGGACGACAAGAGAAACGTCAGCCTCGTAACTTCCAACAACCGGGAACAAACATTTGGAACAACCAAATGGATTCTATTGGGTGTTTTCATGGTTTTGGTCCTTGGAATCTTAGTGGGAACAGCGGCAGCCCAATGCTTCCGCTGCTCCTCCAAGAGACGAACACGGCGACGACGAATCCAACCAAACTCGAACAAGGAGAGGGCACCCAATTTCCGAAGGAGGAAGAAAAAGGATCGGGCCGATGGGCGGCAGCAGCAGCAAGAACAATCGCCTCCGGTCCGGACGACAGACCGGGGGGGCGGTTCGATTGGTTCCACGGACAGCTGCAGCTGCTACCTGCAGGACGACTATGGTGTGGAGGTCGATTACGACGTTCACGACTGCTGGTCCGTGAGCGTCGTGTCGGTGCTTCCGCCGCCGCCGGTGGAAGACGTGGACCTCGGGTCGGAGCCTCCCGGGGAGGAAGGACAATCCGAGCACCGGCGGCCGCCGGTGGAAGACGTGGACCTCGGGTCGGAGCCTCCCGGGGAGGAAGGACAATCCGAGCACCGGCGGCCGCCGGTGGAAGACGTGGACCTCGGGTCGGAGCCGATCGGTTTCGAAACCCGTGGCCGCATGTGCTCCTTTTGATCGGAACGAACGAATGGCTACGGCAGCATCGCATCCGTCTCCCGATTTGTCGTTCCGAACTCGATTCAGCGCTCCGAATCGCGGAGTAAACACAAGATAAGAATCATGAATATAATGTTTGCAATTACTTTTTATCTAATGTAACATACATCGTTGAGGAGTGGTTGTTTTGGTTTTGTGCAATAATGGTACATTGGAGTCGACAACAGKGTAGGACAGTGTAGTGTTACACCGCGATTTCTTCCTTTTTTTGGTTTGTACATTTCCCCCTATCCCGGCGAGGTGGCGAGGCTCGGCGCTCTTTCGCTCAGTTCCTTGAAAGCGGAAAGATCACCCGGTGGACCAGCCTGTGCGCGATTTCGTCGCCGTAGGTGGCGGTCAGCATCGGCCCCGCCGGTTCCTTCTTCGAAACGTGCGTGTCGAACTCCGAGTGGACCTCCCTGACGCTGGCATCGTCGTCGGTGGTGCCCGGGTCCGCCTCCGTGTGGCGCTGGGTGAGCTTGACGTGCGTCTCGACAAACTCCCTCTGGCCGCGGTGCATTTCCCGCATCCAGGCAGAGGTTCCCTGCTCCGGTGACGCGGGATCCTCCTTGTCGTTGAACTTGCCAATCAGCGGAAAGTCTGTAAAGTACTTGCGCTCTTCCGTCACAAAGTGTCGGTAGGTATGGGGCTGACTCATGGTGGGGTTCTCCGCCCGCATCCGCAGGAGCTCCGAGGTGTACGCATCGTTGACGTCGTGGTCCTCCTCTTTAGTGCTCAGCGGCTGGTAGTCCAGGACGGCCATGTGCTGGTGCTTGCCAAACTTCATGATTCCCATGCCCAGGATGGGAAGTCTCTCGTCGGAGGGATACGCCAGGCAACGGACTGTCTTGCAGGAAGGGAAATCCATGTACGTCATTCGAATATCCCGATATTCGTCCGAGGACAGCGAAATCGTGTAGACGCGCTTGGTCCCGTCGTCCATGCAATAGAGGTCTTCGTCGCTAGCATCGCCCGGTGGGTTGAACCGCAGGTTGGTCAGGTGCGTCCTAAAAAAGTCCAGCTGCCAGTTCCAGTGGGGCAAAAAGACATCGCCGGTGCAATCGTGTTCGTCTCCGATCCAGGGGATGCTTGCCGCTCTGGACACCGGATCCTCTGTTTCGTCTTTGCGCGGCTGCCGTTCTTCGTGCACCGTTTCGTGAATGCCCGGAAGCACGGGTTTGGCGACGCGTGAGAAGGTTTCGTCCGATCCACACGTCTTGTAGAACAGGGTGTTGCTGGAAGTTGGTGCGGTGGATTTTGGTGTTTTCTGTGCGGTTGATTTTGGAGCAACCCATCCTTCGACGCAACCCCATGGTGCGAGCACCAAAGACACCCAACAAATGCCGATCGCTGTCCGTCTCGTCGTCATTGCAGGCATGTTGCTGGATGTATTTCTGCACCTTTTGCTCTTGTTCGCAGTGGTTGGTCTCATTGGTGAAAGTGGCATTGGTGAAGTCTTATTTTTCTCGATGGCTTCTTCTATTTTCTTTGTTCTTTATTTATATTAGGGGGATCGTTCGGAAGTCGTTTGCAACTAAGGACTGAAGAGCAATGATTCTGCTGCTTTGGAATGTCTTGCTGATGCTGGTGTTGCCCTGATGATGATGTGTTCTGCTTTTGAAAAATTCTTGTTTTTATTGTCGTGACTTGGTGGTATATGCGAAGGGGGAAATTCGTCGTCAGTATGGTAACGTGGTTGCGTTTTTGATCGAGGTGTCAATGAAAGAACTAAGACAATTACGGTACCCTAAGTAGACGTACAAAAAAACGGGGAAAGGGCCAACCGCGCGTGCACGAGCAATTTTTGGCCCTTAAGCGAAGGTTGCTGTCCATGGATGGTGTTGCAAATTGCAGTACTGCAAGTTACGCAAATGTACCGTAGTGGAAGCATACAGAAATACTTGTGCTGTAATACAGTTCGTACAGCATTGTCATACAGCACCATACAAGCACCAGGGCTACGGCATGGGCTACGGTACTGTAAAGCACAAGTCTTCGCTAGAACAGAAAGAATGCGAACCAAGATGGAATGGAAAATAAGAAGCCCTTCCCTGACACACACACCTGGTTTGGAAGTGCGCATGAGCGAGGGAGAATCAAAAAACATCTCTACGATTGGTACGATCCATGACCCAGGAACAGAAGGGTGTCAAGACTGCAGCTGCAGTTTTCCAATACAGTAAATCGTGCCAAATGTTCCAATGCAATGCGAACGCCAAGCCTGCTTACGAACAAAAGCGAAGTTCGTACTGTATCGTAATCTATCGTACTTCGTACTCGATAGTATTAGTGATTGTGCTTGTATATATTGTGTAAAAAGGTACCGTCCGTACCGTACGGTACGGTCAAGGTTGGGACTTCTATTCTACCGTACGGTACGTATGTCGACCATCCCAGCACGTTGCACACGTAGGTACGAGTACTGGTAAGTCGTACGTATTTCGAACGTTCACATAGACCTTTCGTACCGGTACTACGAGAACAAGTACTCGTACGTTCGTACTCGAACTGTCACCAACAGAATGAGTGCGTAGTGCGTAGTCCGTGCGGTACTATCGTACCGTATGGTACTACGTAAGAGTTAGGAGTACAAACATCCGATATCATCTAATCACATGAATATTAGTAGGAGCTACGAAGAAAAAGTACAGAAATAAAATAAGTACTACTATTACGTACGGCTAGGCTACCCAGCCAGCCAGGGTAGGGGTCATAAATTTAGATACAGAAGGACTTGTCCGACCGTTTTCAGAGGAATATGCGTGCTCTACTCGTGCTTCTACGTAGTGGTACAGGAAGTACAACCAGACCGAGTACGTACTGTACATATCTACGCAGGACGTGATAGAAATTTACTCCTGAACGGTATCTTTACAAGGACCCACCATAGGCTGGTCGACCGACTGACTCACACTATCGTTTTCGAGTTTTGCGAAAAAGAAATCACAAGAAGTGGAAGAAAGCTTTTCCAATCTCAGTGCATCATGTGGTTTTTGATCTAGGGTCACAAGCAACCGTGAAATCGAAGTCAAACGCAAGTGATATATTCTACCGCGCTCCAAAAGACGCACAGAATTGACGTCCTAGGAAGTTGGCCGCCGCGTCATGAAACCTAAATTTACTCTCCTCCTTGGGCTCCCGTTCTGCAATGGGTTTTCTTCCAGTAGTCCAAGGCTCGGTCGATCGACGTCGATAACAACGTTGGCCGACGGAAACAAAGAATACGATTTAGTCGGCATCAAAACAAGTGCAACATCGAACGCAACGGTATCGGAAGTAGAGAGAGGAGATCTCTTTTCCGTGACCCTCGAAAAGGGACGCCCGGAACCAAAAACATTTCTGGCTACCTGGAATCGATTATGGATGGATCCAAGGCCAGTAACGGTCTTGATCCGAGAGGCTTTGAGCGGTAGCAGCGCAACACCAACAATGGACGAGGGCAACGAAAATGCAATGTTGGACGCGGATTCCACAAAACCCAAACAAATTCCTTATTGCATTGTTAGCAACGAATTCGTGATCCAGAACAAACACCGGTTTCAGATCTCCCTCTTTCCGAGGGGTCGCCTGGCGGCAGAAGCTTCGTCCACCATCAATGCCGACGATTCCAAGAACGGAAACGCGGCTGCTTATTTACAGTACATCCCCAATCATCCCGGCGACGAAGTCGACGTTGGATGGCAGCTCGAGCTGGTCGATCGAGCCGCCCCGCACCCGGGGAATGCGCTCGCCATTTCGACATCCGGGGGGCTTCCTTTGTCCAACACCACCTGGTCGGCGGCCATGACGTTTTGCTCCGAACCGGAAGCCCTCGAGAGCTGTGGGCGGGCCGCCGATTGGGGATCCTCGGGTTGGAGCTCCGAGAGCGTCTGCAAAGTTTTGGTCGAGGGAAACCTTGAGGCAAGGGGATCCATAGTGGTGTATGGCAGCCGTTCTGGAGAAACCAGCACCCGATTCGGCGGTGCTCTCGGAGCGGCCCTCGTTTCGACTGCAGATGCAGGAAAAGCTGGAAAGAGCTGCAACAAGAAAACTGAAAACCAGCAGTCCTTGCACGAGCGTTCTTTCAAGGTTGGAGAGGTGATTGTTCCCATGGCCAACCATCCGCAACAAGATAAGCTTGAAGACTCTTTTGTGACCGCCGGGACAGACTATCGCATAATGACCATGGCATATAATGGGAAACCAATTTTTTCAACCAACGATGTTCCCCCGAAAGAACGCAAGAATGTCCGGCTCGCGCTGCGACCCTGTGGATGGAAATTGCAGCAACAGCTGTGGAATCAACAACAACAAAAACAACAGCAGGCGAAGCGAAAACCCATGAAGACTGGATCGCGGCCAGATGCGCTGCCTTTGTGGCCCGTTGAGGTCCCCGCGGGTTGGTTATCGACCTCGGCCCGATCGCGATTCAATCCCTCGGCCTTTCTCCCAAGGCTGTCCGCAACCTTTCGGCGGGATTCCAAATCGGTTCTCTTAGGGGTGGCCTTGGCCCTTCTACCTCTTCCAGGGGCGCTTCTTGGCCGTAATTATGTGTCCCTGTATGCTATCCCTAGTGCCAGTATGGATCCTACACTCATCAAGGGGGACGTCCTGCTCGTGGAAAAATTCCCGGGGGTTGATGGTCGGATCAAGCGGGGCGAAATAACGCTATTTCGACCGCCCTCGGCTCTGGAGCAGATAGCTGGAAAAGCCATCAACAACGGTCGCAACGGTGCACCACCCCTCTTTGTCAAACGGGTGGTGGGATTGCCCGGCGACAAGGACATTGTCCTGGACAAACAGACCGGCGAGGTCACCCTGAATGGCGATCGAGCCGCCGTAGGCCCGGACCGGAGCCTTTGTGCCGACGAACCGCTCCGGCTCATCGATAGATTCTTGGAAAGCGGCAAGGGAGCGGTTTTAGAGGAACTGGGAGAGGACGAGTTTTACGTCCTGGGAGACTGCAAGGCTGTTTCGATCGATTCACGTGTCTTTGGGGTCTTGCCCCGCGAAAAAATAGAGGGACGGACCCTTGGGCGGATCTGGCCTCTCGACCGAGTGACCTTTCGTCAGCTATGAATCGTGTTTCATCAAATGCATTGCACTATTCTGTAGCAATAGAAATTCATAAAACACGGCGCCGTACGAGAGTCAACACGGAGGTTTGGAAGGAGACTTTGCTTGGTTTTAAAAGATCTAGTATTCCTTGTTTCACAGTATGGAGCACGTGAGGACCGCCATGTAATGCTTGGAACGGAATAGCACTGACCTCCGTCGGGAGATTGACTTTCATATATGCACCTTAGTAAATAGTATGGTGCTTTCTAGAAAATACAAGGATTAACAAAATTCTTTCGCAGATGCGATTTTTTGTCACCGTTATTGGAACGTTATTTACCATTATAGTATCTTACTCTTTCGAAGGCTCCTATGACAAGTATGGATTCATCTACTTTCATTCGCCGATATCAGCTGTTTGGTAGCAGGTCTCCTCCATCACGCAATACTTTCCCCCCGCTCTTCTTCCATCAAGGTTATGAAGAAAGTTTTATGCCAATGAAAAACCAATCTTCTTCACAAGAGCGTATTCTATGATGTCACACTGTGCCAATTTCCCACAGCAATGAGTTTGTGGAGCAGATGGATCAATGATTGCCCCTGCACCATGCAAGGGCCTCTGTGGACGGTGCTTGAATTTTTGACAGAAAAAAATATGAGACTACAAAATGTAAATTCCGAATGGTTGGAAAAATATGCTTTTTGTTGCCATTTTCGATCTACGGTAGAGGAATGAAAATTCAAATATCGAATAGTGAAGGCTATTGAAGAAGAAGACCCTCACTGTATTGCCCCCTATTCACTTTATCTCCAATCAGATCTTATCCTGCATTCATTTCATGTGTGTTTAATACCGTGCGTATTTTTACAGAGCAAATAATATATGACGGTACGTACTCGTTGTTTGCTAGACCTGCGAAGAGGATAAATACAGTAACTTAGGAGTACGGTACGTACCCGTACTTACTCGAACATCATCCCGTACGGTACGATACAATACTGTAATGCGTAGTACTGTATTTGTACGAGTTTGAATACCGCAACGTAATCGTGCCGTCCATCGCGTCATACCGTACTTCTGCTTCTAATAATAAATTCGTCCGTCCTTCCGTTCTTCGCGCGCTGCTGCTTAATCCACGCGATAGTCGCCTCGCGGCTTATCAGTTTGTCTTAAGTTGTGAACATTTTTCCTCTCGGAGTGTCGGGGAGCTACCGGTATCACATTTTGGACTCAAGTTTTAGACTCAAGTTCTCGTCGAGGAAGTTTGCGGAGAGCAAGCAACGCTGCTGCGTCTACACATGCAGCCCTACAGGGTTGAATCGAATAACAATCGAATAACAAAGGATAGCACTTCATCATGGTGATCAAGAAAGAAACCAAAGAAGACGTATTTGCGAACTTTCGTCACCTTGACGACAACGCCGTGCCGGACAACGAGGAAACGCTGAACCGAGTGGTGGAAAACGCGATGCTCCTCCATGGAAATGTGAGCGCAGCTCCCGCTGCAAATGGAACGAATCGTTCCTCCAAGATTTTCGATGACGGCGTCTTTGCCGAATTCAAGCTGAAGCTAGAACAGGAGACAGAGGGGAAAATTGAACGGCAGCGACAGCTACGAGACGAAGAGCGACGAAGAAAGATCAGTAAAGAAAAGTCGTTGCGAAACAGGATCTGGAAATCAGTGCGCTTTGCTATTGATAGTGATAGTTATAGCAACAGTGATAGCGATAGCGACGAGAGCATCATCCACGGCAGGCCACAACAACATGACCATCATAATCACCGCCGCCACCATCCCAATACGAACAGTAGTCGTCGTAGCTGGCGCACCAGCCGTCGTTCTCAACGCTTCGACGTCCACCATGGGTATCACGAACACAATAATACACGACACGAGCATCCAGAAACCAATGGCACGATTGGCAATAAGAAACATAGTTTTAGGAAACGAAGCGAGAAAAGAAAACATTTGTCGATTCAGAAAGAGGACAGCTACAACAGTGACTATGATCTAGAACGGGGCGGGGACGAGGCTTTCAGCTACGAAAAAAATTATTTTTCTAACGACGAGAACGAGGATAGTGATGATTCCAGTGATAACGACGACGATAATGATAGTGCAATTGATAAAGAAGAATACGATTCTGTAATCACGAGATCTAAAACAGGCATGCCAATTGGTGGCATGTCAATACGATCAACGCGACGAACCAACAATAGCGATGACGATGACGATAACAACACGGAACGCGACGAAAAGTACCACTGGGTCTCACCACATTCTTCGGACCTTGTCTTTTCGGAGTTCGATCTTGATGCGATTGTAAAGGACTACGAAAAACTCCAGCGAAATCTCGACTTTGGAATCAACGACAAACAAAGCGAACTCTGTCGCTATCGCGATCATCGTGTGGACGAAGATGATGAGGGCGACGAAAACGAGCTCAAAATAACTGCCCACTACCGGAACCTTCGCAACTTATGGGTGGAATATTTTCCACGGACCAACGCAATCCTTTTCAAGGTATTCGTTCCGCTGATGTTCATCGTATTTTTTTCCATTTTTCTAGGAGATTTTTTGGGCAAGTTCGAGATGAAGAACGAAATTGAACAGAACAACCAGATTATGCGTGACAAACACGAACTTGAAAAATACCCTTACGAGGAGACACTCTATTTCATGTTTGGCTTGCCGATTCTCTGTTTTGACTATTACCTGGAGAAAGAAGGGACGGAGGAGATCAAACATGATAGTAACTACAACTGGACCGCGATCGTCGAAGACACCTCCGCAAAAGAGTTCACAAATGAAACCGACGCGTTTTCTCTGTCGTTCAATTCCTCCATGTTGAACTTATCGGAACTGCTGGGCTATGAACTTCCACCCATCTATACCAAAGAATCCTATAACGCGACTTATGACGGAGATAGCAACATGGAATTGACCCTCGGAGAAATAAAAACCTACATGGCGATGTGTGAGGAGGCCGGGGCAGACATTGTTTCTAGATTTATCGACTTCAGTGCCCGGCGGATGGTCATGGAAGCCGTCGGAACCATGTCCTTCCACTGGATGCGCTGCTGGAACACGACTGAATTGGGAGATGTCAACCCGTTTCGACCGAACAAGGATCAGCTCCAGGCTACCACGCAACAGGATGAATTTTATGACAAAAACTGGCGGGAAAACCAGAAGTTTCTGTACGAACAATACCTCTCCGAAGCAAACTGCTCGGATATTGCTTGCCGAAATGCCGCCCTCAGGCAATCTGTTGAGAACGCAAACGGATCGGAGATGTGCGATATTAACAAAGGAGCTTCGGCCTGGTTCTGGTTTGTCTTCATGACGACTGTCGGCTACGGGAACCAATCACCTGAAACTACGCACGGACGTCTGTTGGTAGGATGCCTGGGTTGGATCATCATCATCATCTGGGCGGTTGTTCTGTACGTGGCAGGAAAAATTCTTGGAATCGTCATCGACGATGTGTTTCGAAAGTGCAACTGCCGGATCATGACGGGTGACATCCCGAGCGTCATTGTGTGGGGTGCCGTGTCGGGATTGTGGATCGTCGCAGTCGGGGAGATATATAGGTACTGGTTGAACTATACCGAGGACCCCCACCATTACGATTGGGCCATGTTTGTACAGAACGATGCGGGCGATATTTCCACCGGTGATGCATATTGGTTTTCCTATATTTCACTCTTGACAGTGGGTAAGTGAAGCATTGTCCTTCGGCAGCGTGTCGGCTATATTTCTTGATGCTGTTGCTTTTTGATTGAGTTATGATACTCTATTGCAGTGATGTGCCGTATAGTGTAGCTTCATGGGTTACAAGAGAAATGTTGTGTCGCATTCGATTTTATTCACAGAAATATTCTTCTTGTCAACATGGGTATCTGATACATGATCAAATAGGACTCGGAGATTTCTACCTCGACTCAGAGGGATTCTTCTACTACGATTTGATGATGTGGACGGGATGCTTCCTCGCCGGCTTCACTTTTTTGTCTACCTTTTTGGGGCAAGTTGCAGATGTGATCACTAACGTGTTTCCTGACAACGGAGATTCCTTGAAGGAACAGTTAATGAATACGAATCTTGTAAAGAGGAAGGATGTTCAATTTAAGAAAGAAAACGAAAAGGGAATCGAAAAGCTCGAAAAACTAGTGGAGGTTATGGACGACGACGACAAGGAGCTGGTCGCCCAGCGGGTTACTCGTATACGAGTCAAGAAAAACCTGCTGATCCATCTCCTTTACCAGACGAAGAGTGAGATAGAATACTATAGAAAGCGCGGCGAACGTTATGAAAATCTATCGTACTCGAAGGTCTGCCAGGAAGAAAACATGCTCAACGAGGTCCTCTCCAACACCGTGAAAGAGCGTGAAAAACTCGAAACCTATCGACGCACCGAGGTATGTTCTGCACCTCCTCCTGGCTCAGCTCGTGCAAGGTCGTATTTTGAGGACGGAACGCGAGTTGACGGTGTGGGGGAAAAACTTCACCTGCGGTCTGGAAAGAAAAGCGTCAAGAAACGGATCAAGGCATCTACCTACCTATGAGTTCGTCTAAGAGCTAATTTTTTGGAAAAAAACAAGTGTAGAATAAAACGCGAACCAACCTCACTAGCATTGTATTCACTACTATTGTATTGTTAGAATATTCAAGTGTTGATTGACTTCTAATAGCCAAACTCGGTTGGATATGCCTCCCTCCAAGCGGTAATCATTTGGTGCGAGAGCACGGGATGGTTGGATTGGAACTCGGCTGGTGCCTCGGCAAAGCAAACAATAACAGCGTTCACAGCCGATGATACCAAACCGAATAATGTGCTGCATAAAACGAACCCTATTGCGGCGCCGATCAAAAAGGCGCCGACAACCACTGCTCCATTCTGTTCCATGAGAATCCCAAGCAATGCACCAACGATTCCCGTAATAACACCGACACAGATACTTACCATTAACAGCACTGTGTCAACGAGGTAATCGGCAATTATTAAGGACCAACCCCTAGCTTGAAACAACTAATTTACCAAAAGGGCAACGAAGAGAGAGAAGATGTGAATATATCGGATATGATGCTTTATCCAGAGGTGTGGCCGTCTTCGAATCTGCAAGCGTTCGGGCAAAACACCCAAAGACAACTTGTTGCGGCGAAAAGGGTCTTGGCATTGCATTGCAATTAACTGCACTGCAGCGAAAACTCACCGATAATACATTGACAGAGGCCTCAACAAAGCTGTATCCGTATAACCCCACGTACACATATCCCCACTTATTGAAATACATTGCAATCTGTTCCAAAATGTGCAAAATGCAATCGATGATGCAGATGATCAGTCCGTTTTCTCCTGAGCGCGCGGAATTGACGATTTCACGAGTCGCTTCGATGAACGCAACAATCAGTGAACCGAAACAGATGGATCCAAAGGAGGTCGTGACGGACCTCCAGTAAGAATTTCGCACCGCCGAGGAGCAACAGCCCCGTGCCTCCCCTGGAACGAACCACCAAGTGCCCACCGTCCCGGCTACCGTCACGTGAACGACATTCTTGATGACCTGGGTCGTCCAAAAGAAGCTCACCAGGAACAGAAAGACTAAGAATCCGTTGATCTCGTTCTCGCAGTAACCCTCCGCATCGCAGTCTCCCACGACGTAGAACGTGGCCACAAAGGCTGTCGACCACCACAAACTCCACAAAAAGGTGACGACGAGGTTGTTATAGGCAAAGAACGCCAGTCCCATGTTGCACTTGACAGCGGTCAGAGCCGTCACCAGAGTAGATGCCGCATAGGGTATCCGTCGCCAGACAATGTACGTGTAATAAATGGTGAGGATGAGGCCCAATCCGGACATGACGGCCACCAAAATGGCGCCAATGTAGATCGAAAGTACCAGGACTCCTGTCGTGACAATCAAATTAAAAGTCAGAGCAATTTTGATCATAGCGGTTGGGATCGCCATCATCAGAGACATGGCCAGGGATGAAATGAGGAATCCAACCGCTCCACTAATCGCCATGATGGTCAATAGCGTGTTCATAGACAGTTCGGAATCCTGATCGCCGTTATTGAGAACTCTGTTTTGTTGTTCCCAATAAATAATGCTTTCGCTTCTATCCGTATCGTCGGGAAAGATCCCTAAGTAATTTTTGAAGGATTTATCATCGTACTCGTACTTGTGATCAGAATCATTGTAAAATCCATCTCCTATCTGCTGTAGCTCCTGCTCCAGCCATCGATGTGCACCTCCCGCATATTCGTTTGCGATATCGGATGCGATGAGAGGCGCAAAGTGAGCGGTGGCATATCCGATGGCGATCACGTGCGCACAGAACAAAATGGCCCAGCCGACGTCTCGAAAAGCAGTTGGTTGTATTTCACCCCGTGGTATGGATCCCTCTTGTTGCCGGGAGCCTCCGTTTCTGTTGCGATCACCGATCATGACGGTGTTGTTCATAGACGTCAAGCTGCTTTTATGATGGTCAGTTGCTGCGTAATAGGACAAGCGCTGGTCGATTTCGTCCTGTTGCTTTCGTGCGATGGCATCGCTGATTTGAGCGTCGTTGATCGAATGGTTCAAGCTGCTCCTGCTAGTCCTTTTATTTTCGCAACTCATCCCTTGAACAACGGGAATCCCGTTTGCGTTGTAGAAGGGAGTCTTCATGTTTGATGAATGTTGTGTAACGCAGCATGGAATGCGTTGGATCGTCTGTGATCTACCGTGTTTAATTAATAATAGCACATTTCAATCAATTTTCATGAGGGAAGCTTTCCAACGAAATGAGGAACATGTCATTTTTTATTATTTCCTTCCAAAAATTGTGTCGTGTCGTTTCTTGCGTCCCTTGTTGCTATTTGCGGTTTCAAATTTCTTGCATTTCCTATGCCCCTCTTGGCGTGCGCTCGCGACTACGTGAACGCGCAATATCTCTTTATGTCCCGTAGTGGACATATCAGAGGATCATAATTTGTACTACGCCTGTCCATAATCCGTTATGCAAGCATAAGAACATACTTTATGTACTTCCTCCGTCCCCAATTAAATGTCCCTTTTGCACCTTTACTACCGAAATAAGGTCATTATTTGGGCAATTGGAATGCTTCTTTTTGCACTCAACAGATCTATTATACTTTTATTCAATCATGTAGATTAAATATAGTCAATGTGTCTGACGTACTTGCTATAACTACTTAAAGAGACCCGATTTTAGCATATGATTTTCATTTTACCGGTTGAAAGGGTTCTGCTGCCGGTCATTTAAAGACGCCACCAACAGCTATAGAAAGCCAGGAGTGAGAGCTTTATCACAGTATTCTTATCTTACTTATTGAGAAGGTTCCTGTGCAGTCATTTCTTGTTTGAAAGAGGTGCACCGTACCGTTGTCAAAATTTCATTTGCTGTGTTAATACTAGTATGTGTAATTTTATCTGTGAAAATAATTCTTAATCACGCGCATGCTCATTTCCACTTTGTAGTACTGATTCTACGTGTTATACACAGTCATATTCAATCATATTCAATTTGGGGTTAAATAAAACTATTCATGAGTGTTAATTAAACTCGAGGACACTCTTTAGGGACAACAAAAAAGGGTCATACTAGGTACTACATCTATTTGGGGACGGAGGAAGTACTATTTTTTGCACCCACTATTCATGATAACAATTACTAATGAAACTCACTCATTCTATTGGTCCTAGAGACAAACAAGTGGCTTCATCAATGTCATTATGCTTAAATTTCAGTTCATCAACATGATTGGGTGCTGGACTTTCCAGTGGTGGACACAGTGCATCAGGAATATCATCATAGTATTAGTAGTCAATTATGTCAACTGACACTGGTATAGCTGGTGGTATCATGTCTCCAGCACCATTCTCAGCTTAGAATTCTTGTTCTCTCATCAGCTTTTCAAATTCCACTCACATTTCAGTGTTCATACACAGCTCTTCAATCTGCTTACATAAAAGGTGAAACAATGCTCTCAATTCAAGAAGATCTAACCAGTACTACCAGAACCTTCCATGATGCCCAGTGATTTTGAGTCTGTTAAAAGACTCAACCAAAAGATCCACCAAAATTGAAACTCAAAATCTACTACTAGTAATACTACTTCTTCTTTCCAAGAATAACAGTCCCCTAACAAGCTTACTTCTGAAATAAGCTCCTCAATATGGCCAATTTGGTCATATTGTACTGGGAGGGGTCAAATGAAAATATTGAATAGTAGTGTTAAATACAACAAGTGGACTATCATCCTTGGACAGCAAAATCAGAGTGAACTGATGGTCATCATTGGATGGAGGAAGTACTAACAGCAAGAAACCTTGTCCTATTAGAACCAAGCATGCTATTTTCTTCTCAGGAACAGAACCTCCTGTTTTGAGACAGTGTAATAGCCGTCCAAGGATGTTAAGTGCATTTCTTTCGTCTCAACGGAACTGATGCTCAATACAACATGGTGGAAAACTAGAACCAAGAATACGAGTATGAGTACTACTCGTAAAACAACAATTGAGATTACGTTAATTGAAGCAATGGTGAAACAGTGAAACAGTGAAATCGATTAAATATCATTAATCAATCTTTTACTTATGGCTCTCGGAGCAGGAATTCTCGTTCCCATTATTTCCGTTTCTCAGTGACTCTTTTATTTGACGGCTAACATCTGCAACGTACGGTAGAAAATCTTTACATTAAGTACCGTACGAAGTACTACGAGTAATGTAATAAGTAATTCTCGTACTTTGACCATTAGGAGTACCGTATTCTCGTCGCCCTGTACGGTACGTATGTAAAATATTTACTTCTACTAAGTAATTATTGACAGAAAGCTAAACATCAACTTCTTACTTTCCATACGGAACGTTGTTGTATTCGCGGATTTGATCAGACCAAGTACCTGGCTTGTACTCGTACCCTACTCAACGAAAGCCACTACAGTAATTCTATTTTTGTTCTCTTTTGTTCATTCAAGATTGGAAAGATATTTTTTTGACATACTTATGAAAAGTGCGGTCTCAGTTCAAGAAAAATCTACTAGTAAATACTACTTCGTATCCAGAAAACTGAGAATTTCTAAATGCGCTAATACCGTCATCTGAGATCTCAGAAAAGATTTCTTTTCCCTACGATCATTTTTGATTTGTGCGTGAAGGCATACCTTACTATCTTAAAAAATTGTGCAAGCTCTGAATGCCGCCTTCCCATAACCATTTTTAAATTCTACACAAATCCATAAAAATAGCAAAGAATTTAAAATGAAACTATCCAACATATCCTCACTCATTCTCCTGCCAACTCTTGCGGAAGGATGCTCGCGCGTCTTTCAGAACAAGTACGATACGTTGGTGGCAGGGCGCTCTATGGATTGGGACCACTCGTTCAATGACATTTTGTTCCTGAATCCAAGAGGTATGAGTATGACTGGTGGACCAGAAGAAAACGCAGTCGAATGGGTCTCCCAATACGGGAGTGTCACCGCGAGTATCATCGGATATACGTCAGAATTTCCAGAGTGTGACTCGCTCGATTTCTATCTCGATGCCTCGACTGATGGAGTAAACGAGAAAGGATTAGGTGCTCACGTTCTTTACGTAAGTGACACAATATAGCTCATGATTGCTATGGAATCGAGATTTGATGGCATGTTATGTTTCGATCACCAAATTCAAAAGTTAAGAGAAAGCTTCATCTCACAACTACGTTTCGTTTCCAGCTTGGCGAAGAGGATGGGACAGTATATGGTAATCCCTCATCATCTCCAGAGAAAAAGACTATTCATTATATGCGCTGGGTGCGATATGTCCTCGACAACTTTGCAACCGTAGCAGAAGCCGTTGAAGCAATGAAGTCACTTATAACTGTGAATAACAATCTCTGCCCTGGCTTTACAGAAGATGGCCAAGGACTGGAGCTTGGTGCTCATATGGCGATCGAAGATGCAACGGGTGATAGCGCTGTGTTTGAGCACGTTGCCGGCCAACTACAAATCTATCATAGCCGAACAGACGCACTCGTCTTGACGAACGAACCGCCCTTTGATCAACACGTGGAAATCCTTTCCCAGTACGAACCATGGGGAGGGAATATATCGCTTCCCGATAATTTGCCAGGGAGTGTGGATTCTAGTGATAGATTCATTCGCTTAGAATATTACCTTCAACACACTCCAGAACCAGAAACAGAGGCACAAGCCATTGCCAATGTACTGTCCCTCATTTCGGCCACAAACGTCCCATTTGGGGCTCCATATGGTGGTAAGTTTCAAGTTGGAAATCAACAACGTTGTAACGTGTGATATGATGTCATCACGTGAGAGAAGGAGTCTACTTCCAGTTTCTCACATTGTAGCTTCTTTTCGTTGATTTAGGTGGAGTCTATCCGACTTGGTGGGAGTCTGTGATTGATGTCACAAATTCCGTTTACTACTTTAACTGGTTGGAAACACCAAACATCATCTGGGTGGACATAGCCAATGTGGACTTCGATTCCCTCGATACTTACTATTACCTACGTCCGCAGGATCCAGAGCTTGTTGCCGACGTAAAATGTGATTTCCATGACGAAAATGGAGCCAAACTGTGCACTGAAGACAAAACGAGCAGCTCCGCTAGTGAGAGATTTTATTCCACAGCACTCATATCTATGGCAACTTTGTTGGTTGTCATTGTGTCCGCCATGTATGAGAATAGTCCAAAATCAAATTAAAATGAACAAGGAACTCAATCGCTGGAATGGGATGCATGGGCCTTCAAACAGAAGGGCACAATAAGAAAGTCATTAGTTTCCAGTCTGCACCTTGATCGTAATGCTTACTTAAATAAGTGTAATATATGTGCCGTCATATTTGAACATCAAATACCATGCAAGTCCTACTAATAGGTATTTAATAATGCACTGTATTGATTATAGATAGTGTTTAAGTACTCTAGGGCTCCACATACTTCGAGATCTCTGAGTTGGTCGCTTCGTTCGAAGCCCATTCCTTTTTTATGATTAATTCGTTCAAGTCACGAAAAATGTGAGGCAAATACCTCAATGTCCTGGAGTTCCTCAACGTAGGTCCGGCCGGTCGTAGCCCCCTGCCCAAAACTCAGGGGGGTTCCACTGGTGGCGTCCACACCCAGGACCGTGTAACGCAGCTCACAAGTCAAAATGGCAGTCCCTTCCATTCGGCTCGGGGAGGCTGTCAGAACACACCAGGCAGAACCAGTCGTGTGAAATGGCAGAACCTTGATAGGAACCTGTGCCGCAATCGATGCGGGTTGGATGGCATCTTCCGAGGACTCGGCGACCACAAATGCCAGATTGCCAAGAGCGCGGCCGTCGATCGCTAAGGAATTGTTTGTGATTTTGGCTTGAATGATGAGATGGCGCGGGAAAAAGTGTTTCACAATGACAACATCAGGAAAGGTAGGCGAGGCAGAGCTCGACAACCTAGCTTTAAAGGGTTTTGTCGAATGGAGAGGTTCTCCTATATTCATGGCCCGAAATTGTGGAACAACGTATAGGTTGGCTTGCGATTTGAGCTGTGCATCCGTCAATTGCTGCTTGAGGGCCGTGTGCTTGGCACGCAACAGCGAGGAGACAACCTTCAGGCGCCGCACCTGCGACTCACTGTCTACTAGGGCCGGAATCAAAAAGGGACGCGCAACGGCCGAGACGGGAAGATTGTTAGGAAGGAGCCGGAGTGCAGCCGACCGTTCGATGTCCCCCCTTCGCATGGCTAAAATCTGAATGGCCGATGCAATGCCACGCTTCTTGTCGGGGTCGGATTCAAGAGCCACCCGGACCAGTGGTAGATAAGCATTTTCCTTTTGAAACTTTTCGTCGAGCTCGTCGTTCGCTCGGTCATCTAGCATGCTGTCTGCGGCCAATCGAGCTCGCTGCTTTTCAATCTGGGTTTTCCGCCGTCCGTGGAGCATGTCACAGTATTCTAGAGCCAGAGTCATGCTTTTGCAGTTGCAATAAAGTATTTTTAGAGCCTCTTCGTGTCTTCCGAGTCGTCCAAGCACCAGAGCCTGTTCTTGGAAAAAGGATCGAGGCAGGGCCTCGAGCAACCTCTCCGATCGAATTTTTGCTTGGGGCCACCGCAGAAATCGCCGCAATTTTTGCCGATAGATTCGACCAAGCGAAGTAACATCCCCATCTGAAGAATTGCTTGAAAGTGAATCGCTCTGTGGATTGTCCTGCTGCTGTGAATTGTCACCCCGTTCAGAAATCACACCCTCTAGCAAAAGGAAGCATAGCTCGTCGTGAAAATCTGATACTACATCCTGTGCGTACTCCATTGATTTGCCCAAAAGATCGAATTCGTTTTCCTCGGGTCGATGAGTGGAAATGCCAACAGAGGATTCCAAGAATGAAACCGCCAAGGCTCGCCCGGACTCAAGGGGCAGAATTCCGGACCCCTCGTCATTTTCGATTTCAATTTCGTCCTGGGCATCGGCATAAGCGCTGTTGTCCTTGGAGGACAGCTTTGTACGATAATTTGGATATGCTACGGACGGCTTGATACTCTTTAAAAGCCGTACTACTTGTGAGGGATGCTTCGGATGGGCAAGTGGATCGTCTTGGTCGGCAGTCTGTCGCCACTGGGTGGCATTCTGTGGATGGTTAACTGTAAATACGCTCAACCCTAATTGTGGATTGCTTTCTAGCAGCCTAATGGTGGCGGGCGAGCGTAGGACCAAGAGCCGGGCGGTTTCGCTTTCTGTGCCCCATAGCTCGCTGAGGTGACCAGCGGTGTACGATTCGTACTTGATCTGGGACCAAAAGCCGACGGGTTGCTTTGCAGATTCCGGGGCACGGTGCTGCTGGAGACGCTCCCTCAGAACCTCAATCGCACGCTCATGCTTTCCGCAGCTTCGTAGAAGCCATGTAGCGGCCTCAACAAAATCCATTTGCAGGCTGGCCTGTGCATTTGCGTTTGCGTATCCCGAGTTACGTTGCATCCCGCTGGAACCAGAGGTGGCCGAAGAAGAACCGCTCAGAAGAGACCGGTTCGAGGCAGCTTCTTTCAGAAGGCGGTCGGCTACCATTTCGTTGACTTGGATCGCGGCATTCGAGATTCCGCGATTATTTCCATCGTCTAAAAGAACCACACCCATCTGCGAGGCGCATTCTCGAGCCGCTCGGTTGGCCAATGATCCCTTGGGAGATGGTGATAGCTGCATGCAAACAAGGCACAAGATGGCGGTAGACGTCAAAAGTGCGTTCGGCGTGGAAGCAGTCACAGAAGGAGAAAATTCAGTTTTTTGCTTCCCTGTTGAACTACCAGCACCGGCGTCTTCATTGGCAAAGGGGCTTTCGGATAATTCGTTTTCGTATTGTTGATTTCGGTTCTGTTGTCGAAACGGACTATATCCACCACCAAACATACTATTTTTGTTGTTCCCATCCCGACGATTCGATGCAACATCAATCGTCGGCCACCCCGGTGCCGCACCGGACTCGAATTCCGCCAGACCCAAAATAGATTCGAGGTATTGTTTGAGAAGCAAGCGCGACTGTGCTGTAGGTTCTGGTCCAGCATAGGAAGTAGCCGTGAAGCTGGCGTGCAATGCCTCCGCTAGCTGGCTACGGGGAAAGTTATTGGCCCCAAAGGCATCGATTGAAATCCGCATCAGCCGATCGGCTAGGTCCTGCATCGTATCGGCCTGGCAACGCAAAAGCTTGGCCTGTCCCGAATACGATAACGACAACACCCAGGGAAAGCTTGTGTATGGGTGGTGATTGCTATCTCCTTCGTCCAAATCGTCAAAGTTGGGATTGGCAGTATTACTGATGCTGTTGCGAGAATAAGGGTCCATAGAAGCGTTTTGCGATTGGTGAAAGTAGTAGCGACCACCCCCTGCGTTGCTGCCGCTCCCCCAAAAAGATTCGAGGCAAAAAAAGTCGTTGGGCCTTGTACCAACCTCTACAGTTTTCAGGGATATCGCCAAGCACGAGGCCGCTCGGACCGACACCAAGCCGTCGCTCGTCAGCAACAGACAAAACGGCCAGGAAGCCGCCGCCGATAAAATGGGAGACGCGGTAGTAGTAGTGGCGGTGGATCCGTTGTTTCGGGGAGGACTCGCACTGGCAAAATGGTTGATGGAATCAAGGTGAACATCGACAAGAGCGGCCTCCCGGCCGTTGCAAACCAGGAGGGAAGACCAGTTTTCGGACACGGAGCGGTCTTGAACGTCCACGAGAATGACGGGGTGGATTTGCGACGACTGTCCAAAGCAAAAGACTTTGGCGCATTCCGGTGCCGAAGCCGTGGAGGAGGCCGAAGTTGGGCTAGCTGGTCCAGAACTCGTTGTTTCGACCTCAATTCCCGGAACCGCATAGACGGCATTCCCCACCGCAACCACCGCAAGGTGTCCGTTTGCAGTCACGATCAGCGAGCTGGGACCACCCCGGGCCCCAGGTGGTGGTAGCACGGTACCGGAAAAGTCGACGGTGGTGGTCGAATGTCTATTGGATTGCGATGCGTGTTGTTGTCTCTGCTGCTTGCCCGAGGAAGAGACAGCTGCGGCTGCCTCGATGTACGGCCAGGCTGGAATCGTGGTAATGCGTTTGCCCCCGCAGACTACGTATCCACATTTCTTGTGGTAGGTTGCGCACGATACTCGAGATGGGAGCTGAAAACGAGGATGGATTGCACTCGCAACATTGTTGGTAGTGGTGGTGTTGACCTTTGTAAAGGCCCCGTTTTGGAGAGTCACCAGCGCTGCAACAAAGGCACCTCCCTGTTTGTTGCTTCCCTTGTTGTCGTCGACCAATACCAAAAACAAACCTACCAGCGGGAAGGAAGGAGGCTGTTGGGGAGGACGTTGCCTAGAATTATAGGCGTTTCTTCGACCAGAATGATGACTGCTGTTAATACTATGCGTGGCATGGGAGTTCTGTATCACCGCTGGAATCACATCTACTACCGAACCCGGTAGAGACTTGGCCGGAAGATCTACCGGAAGATACGAACGTGGCAAGTTGACCGGGGGGCGACCCGAGGGTGTGACTCCAAGGGCCGGTCGGGGAGCGTTAGGATTTCGATCGGGACGGCTCGGGCTTTTTGTCCTTCCTCCAAAGGATGCCGTGTGGCTGGCAGTGTTCCTCTTGCTACCGCTGCTTTCACTACTGCCGTACTCTTCTGGAGAAGCATAGCTTCTGTAGTGTAGGCTTCCTTCCTCCGACCCAAAGACGATCGCACGCGGGATTGGACGGCTGCCGCTGCTGATCGATGCCGCACCCCTGGGAGAAGGAGCATCCTCGAAGGGGTTCGTGCTGTTGGAGGTACTGCCACTTCCGCTTTCGGGAGCCGGAGGAGATGGCGCCGAAAAAACGCAGACGCTTCGTGGTGAATAGGGCAGCAGTTGCTGGGCTGCCGATGTCGACGAAGCGTCTCCGGCACCGGTGGACGAAGAATCCTTTCCCGCTCCAAGGATTCGGCTTCTCAAATCCCAAACAGCTTCGAGCGACATTGTGCGTCGTTTGTTTGCTACGCACTACGAAAAGACGTATCTTGTTGCTTGTGCGAGTGTTGTTGTTTGCAAGATGCTCTTGCTGATGCGTATTGGTTAGTAGTTCGTTACTATCTGTTATGCCGGTTTGTATTCCTGTACCAAACTTCTCGTTGAAGTACGGTACTCGTACGTACCGTACGATAAAAATCATTGTGTCTATTTTTACCTTCGTCCGATTTTTTTTGAAAAAATCATTGTTCGATCATTTGTAGAAGTACAGTATTTGATATGAGTCGAGCGAGTCGAATATTCATTAAAAGTTCATTTGTCGAAGTGCAGTCAGGATCAGGACACCGATTTGGGGACAGAGGAACAACGATAACAAGTACTGTACTAAAGTAGAAGTACTTTTTGTTAATATCTCTAGTAGTACTACTAGTACTAGTAGTTGTTGATTTAATGATGCCATCCTTAATCTTTTCAATACAAATTCTACAGCAGAGCTCTACTGGTGGTGGTGCTGAGTGTTGCTCCCCAACATTTTCAGCATGATTTACTAGTACTAGTACTAGTACTAGTACTACTAGTACTAGTACCTTCTGAGAAAGAAGCAGGGGACGATTGGTTCAGCACCACCAGAATATTTGAAAACTACCTCAGTAGATTTTGTACTACTGTATTCTACTGCTCTAGTAATGATGGCATGATTAGATTAATGATGGGAACCAGTTTCTTAGTGCGGCGATCACTTGTTATGATATTCGTACTACTAGTAGTCATAGTAGTTGTACTAATAGTAGTAATGTTGAACTGGCCTCATTGTTGTTGTTCTTGTTCTCCTTTTTCTTGTTGTTGTTATTTTTCAACAAGAATAAAAGCAACAACAACAATAACATGGTAAAACAACAAGATCATCAACAAAAAAGTGCTTGGAATAGTAAGATAAGATCTTCTCTTACGAGATGGATGAGAGCAAACCGAACTCTGACAGCATTGTACAGTTTTCGAGTTGAAAGTCAATTGCGTGTTTGAATCCGGGGAGTTACTTCTTCTTCAACGTCACAGCGTTCAAATATCACATTTTTTCCTCATTCAAACAACATGCTTACAAGAAATGGCTCCATTGAATCTTGTTCGTTTGTTTGCATCGCAACAATCTACACGATTACAAATGCTGTACTCCGAATAAATCGTTTCTTTTCGCAAGCTATTTGATAGCCATATGTTTACAGATAAGTATTCATTATCAATTGTTTTGCTTTAGATTGACTGCTATCCAGTCGTGAGTAGGCCATAATCCTTCGCCACATTTTTTTAGTGCTGTAGCTGGGCCATCAAACTTGCCATTTGATCCTGAAGGACCTTGAGTTGGCTGGCAGCCGTCTGTTTCATTTGGGCATCGAGTTCTGATATGCCACTAGGGTCGTTGAGAGAAATGTATTGGCCCTCCCCGATGTTGATCTCGACGTTGGCTGATTCATTGCCTCGTCGCTTCTTACATACAGTGGCAATGACGGTACCTGGCTCGGTGGCCGCGACGGGGGATCCGTTTTGGGAACTAGAAAAATACATGCGAAAGATCGGAAAAGTAACGATTACGATGAGCAACTTCGATGAGACATGAAATCTACATTAGTTCGAACAACCAGTACTTCACAACCTTCACTTTCTCGTCATGCAATATTTTGGCATTCGATTCCCACAGATTTACCTCAAAACTTTAGAATTGAATACTTACTATAGTTCCTCTCCTCGTCGAGCGGTTCGAAGGATGGTGCCCATGGGAGCACCAGGACGTCTCATTCGTGGTGCAGGAGTTTCATAGCATCGTTTCTTGTTTGCATCTATCATACAGGCCGTCGTATTATTGGGGTGTTTGGGGATGTTGTTGATGCCGTTGACGCTGTTCTTCGATAAGATCACCCCGTCCTTGCTCTTGAGCAGTGCCAACAAATCGCAGCCGTGCTGCCGATTGAAATCTCTGACAGACATGTTTCGGACGGCCTTGGGAAGCTTGATCAGGCCAGTGGATAAAACCTCTTCCTGTTCGAGTTTGCAGTCGTCCAAATCTGATTTGAGAAAAGCGATCATCTGGTCGTGCTTTTCTTGCAATCCACCGATCAACATTTGGATATGATCAGTGTTGCTTCCATCAATCTTGGCGGATGATAACGAGGACATCGACGGGCTACCTTGTTGGAAGTTACCCAGGATTTGGCGCTTGGTTGCTGTCCGCCAGTTGGCTCGAGCTGGACGTGGTGCTATTGGGGCGGCAAGGGGAGATCGGGACATGCTTGATTGTTTCGTATTCAGATTTATGTCGTAGCAATATTGAATAGTCTTCGAATGGTTGTCGTTTGCACGGATATTCAGAGCTCCTCGATACTAATTTTCCTAATTTTTAAGATAGAAGTTAAGGGTATCAATGAAAAGTAATCTGACGCCAGGGATGTGTTGCAATAGAACATCGAAAATATGGGACGGAACGAATTTACAGTACAGTACAATTTTCAATCCCTGTACGAATTTGAGTACGTACTAGTACGAGTACCTTGTACTCGTACTCAAACCGACATTCAAAAAAGGAGACTTTTAAACCGTGACAAAAACTACTGTAATAATCTTTTCTCTCCAAGCAACGACGAACGAGAAGGAAAGGCCTCGCAACATCGGTCGGGATTTGCCAACCGAAGAGCCGGCGGCTAAAAATCTCGCATGCCGAGATTCAAATTCATCGATGGGAGCGGCCTGCGCGCATTATTAAAGCCTTCTTCTTCGTGCCGGGTGATGTCCAGACTTTCCTTTGATATTTCTACTACCCTATTATCATTATTGCCCTCTCGCGAAAACGAGGCAGACGAGACAACTAAATTCAGGAAATGGCCGCCCTCACAAAAAAATTGCGCGAAAGGCCTGCGTGCGGTGCGAAGAAGCTCTGCGGCGCGCGCAACAAGATGAGCAGAATTCTCTCATTTTCGTGAAAAAAAATATTTTTCACAGTTTTCAATCAATATCGAACTCTATCCTGTATCATCAACCTCCCGGAACCGGTTTCACGCCAGCATTATGCGATAGGCGAACAATAATATAGTTTCATGTTTATTCTAGTGTTATCCTTTCAATGAAGTATATTCCTGTATTATTTTCGCCGTTTGGCACCGCTTTCCAAAAACGATGCGAAACAGACGGCCTAGAATAGAAGTATTTCGTGTTGAAATCCACATTTGGTGCGTAGTCCATACAGCGCCTTGAAAGCACAGAGATGGCGAGTGAAAGTATCTACGACTTGGTCCTCGCTCGGACTGTTGCAAGTTTGCGTAAAATTGATTCTGAGCCGTGGTAATGTGGTGATGTTGGTAGGATGCTTCGGTGTGGACCTTGTGTTTTTTCCCCAAGTAAATAGTCCTCACAGATCAAGTATCTCTTATTTTTTCATGCCTTCTAAGTGTGCAATTTTGTTTATTTTTGTTCTGGACTAGGCCAGGGTAGGATCAGCTGGTTGCTCGCGTTCGCGACGTTCCCGTTTGATATGTTCTCGTTGGTTTCGTCCAGGTGATGGGCATCGTGGTGCATCATATCAAACCCGCCTTCGTTGTGTCCATGAGGAAGCCCAGCAGCTGCATTTGCGGCCATGGATTCAAAATCGTCTTCTTCCCCATCAAAAAGAGTTTGTCGGAAATCCATCGGAAGACGCAATACGTCTTCGCTATGGCCATTGCCGTGTCGTGGAGGACTGTTGCGCACCAATGGAGAGTAAGGCGCCCTGTAGGGGACAGAATCCCCTTCGTTGGACTCTTGAGATTGAAACTGATGGTGGCCGGTATCAACAGGGAGATACGAGGCAGATGAGTTAGGCATTATAGGTACAGGTAATGATCTCGAATATGGATGAAGATGCTGCTGTTGTTGGTTCTGGTAGTGACTCTGGTGATGAAATCCATAGTCTTGGGGTTCTCGTTGATTGAATGTTGGACGGTATTGAACGGGAGTTTCGGTTACCGGCACAGAAGTTTCGTGAGGGGGACCTGGAGTGGCTCCGACGGATGTCTCGGCAAAGGCAGTAGACGACGTTGCCTCATTGAAAGGAACAGAATCAGAGAGTTCTGGTTGGGCCCCAAATGGGCCCTCTTGTAGGAACGACAATGGGGTTTCTTCTAGTCGATGCTTCTTATAATTGTTGGCAGGTGATGATCCCCGGATAGATCGCTTGGTGCTCTTTCGAGACGCAGCAGTCACAGACGACGGGGGATTCTTCCTGTTGTCACTGCTACTGCTATTCTTGTTTCTTTTTGGTTGCTTCGATCGCTCTTCTACTTTTGCAGCCGCGTGATCCTTCAGAGATATTCCTGATCTCCTCCGCTCTTCGGCTGTCACTTTTACATCTGGTGGAGCCTTCACCTGGGCCGCGTATCCGGTTCGATCGGGGCGGTTGCAGTCACGAAGCGCCTGTGTTGCTTTCTTAGAAGCTTCCTTCTTCGTGAGTTCTTCCCATGGTCCTTCCAATCCACGGGAGCTCTGCGAGACTCCTTCTCTTTTGAGGAAGCGACCGGGTGGATCAAGTGACTCAATATGATCAATCACTTCCTGCGCGAGGGCTTTCTTCTCCTCGGTTGTAAAGTCGGAACAATACTTTTCATCGCGGCTTGCGTTGATCAATGATCGGAATCTTTCATTCCCAGGATGCTGCGCAATATTTACACCCCTTCCGCTCAGTACGTCGTGATCATGTACCTTAATGGTGTGCGATCTACCTTGGGTCCGGTTTCTGCTCCGATTGCTGGCCATTGCAGGTCTTTTGTCCAATCTAATGAGCGATTGGACGCAAGATATATTCAATCCAGACAAAAGACAACAGACAATAGACAGAAGACCGAGGATGGAACTCCGGGAAGAAAAGATTTCTATACAATCGATCTTGATAGAACACTTCAACTCAAACCAATTATGATTTGATAGATGAACGAACAAGCACAAATAAATATCCGATCCAAGTACTACTAAACTAGTCTCCAAGCCAATGCCGTCTCTTGTCCATCCAAATGATTACGAAAAAAAAAAAAACAGTACCCTTTCCAACGGCACCTCCCAAGTAATGCCACGATGTCTCCAACAATCCTTCCTATTTGAGCTCTTGACTTTGCTTCATTTCAATTTCAATATAATACGACTTCGTTCAATAGTTCGATGTGGTTGTGACGATAAGAGAGTTGGTGAAAGGATGGCAAAAATCCAACTGCTCGAGCAGCGAGGGTACTCGTACTGGTACATACGAGTGCCACAGTAGGGTGGACTGTAGATACAACATACGGCAGTCTCTACTCGTACAATTCTACACGTACTCTGTAGTAGCGGTTTTTTACTACTGTACTTCTTTGTTAACTCGTGGACCAGGTGCGAAAATTTCCACGTGCATTTCTTCTCCGCCTATCTTTTTCGCAAGGCCAAAAACACCACGGGGGATATCATTTTACTGGAAGAAGGTCCCCGTGAAGGCGGGGAACATGGGATGTCACACACATTAATGTTGACCCAACCAGATTTTAACACGCAATTTTCCTCTTGTTCATGATCGCTTTTTCGAGCAAGTCCCACACAGAATAACGCAAGCTAACCCATTTGTGACTCTTGTAGGTGTAAAATTCAAAAAATTACTTAGGGATTTTGCGGAATACACACCAGCGCATTTAGCGCATGCGGTTACCGATGCCGCACATATTCTTCCGCACCAAAACCTATTTTATTAACGGGACAGAAATTGTTCTCCGCCACCAAATGGAGTAAGAAACTAAATGGTTCGGCTACTGAGGCAGTCCGACTGCCGTAGATTACTGAACTTGGAAAGACCGGAAGTTCGAAAGTTTTCCTTCTTCGCTTTTACTACCTGTATTCGTCAACTTCACGTGTTAACAATGTCCGGCAAGAAAACCACGTTTTCAACACCTGCAAGAAGTCTTCTCCCATCTATTGGAGCACCACGATAGACCTGGAAAATGATGAAACTGATTTCTTTTTTGACAAAAATCAATTAGTGTAGACTTTATTTAAGGTACACACCACCATTACCCATTAATAGTGGGATGTCGTCTGTTGAAAATTACAGTGCAACTACTACTAATAGCACTAGTAGTAGTAGCTACTAGTCCTAGTAGTACGACGTAGTAATAGTGCTACTACTAGTAGTAGTAGTTCTGATTACTACTACGGTACTACTGCTACTACTAGTGCTAGTACTGTGCTAGTAAGTAACATAGTACTACTACTAGTAGTAGTACTAGCTAGTACTACTAGTGGTAGTATGACAATTATGATTGTATTACTAGTAGCATGGGCAACCAAATGTACTACTACAATCATACAGCAGCTGTCAATTTTGGTGGGCTATCTTTTTTGTGTGTAAAATACTAGTATGTCCTGCCATTCTCTACACATTTGTTTGCAACCATAATATAACAAAGCCCAAGATGACTGGTGCCACCAAAAACAGGATATCATCTGCAGAACCTTCAAGGTTCTTCAGGTGCTTTTACTTCAGTTTTATGGTTGCTCTCGCTTGGAGCAGAGTCCCARCCAGACGGCGGCCCAAAACATCTTATGTACTCAGATAASTGGAAGTACATGTGATTCTTTATCAGATTGTTTCCGTCCCCTTTACTGCGGCGGAGGTTCAGGTCTAATGTAGCGACAAAAAGTACCGCCATCTTGTCGAGGTTGGTTACATTGTCAGCGTCAACTTTCATAACTTCTGAGATGCTACCCGAGTTCTTGAGGAATTCTTCCATTCCTAATATTAACTCGAGTGCATATATGCGGTGGTCTATTTCTTGTCTTGCGGTTCTTGTTTTCTTGGTTACCGGGTGTTCTCAGTGAAGTGAGGGCCTGCCTACCTTCAGCGGACAAGAGTGTCAACATTTGTATGTACAACATACCAAGGTACTGGCCGCCTTCCTTCTTCGCAGTATGGATGGATTCAGAAAAATTTGTTCTAKAACAACCACGGCTCTGTAATAGCTAGCAACCCTGTCCATCGAACCGAGTAACCAACAGTTCATTCCCAAAMAATCTTCACGAAACGTTTCYRCCGCCCTCTTGGCGCATCCTAGTTGGTGCATGTGAAGCCTTTCACCGGGGGTGGCAAAATGTATGTTGTAAGGATTTACTCCAAAATCAAGATCATGAAATGCGTTGCCTCCTTTTATTTCGTGGTGCGAGATGTTCTGAAAATAGTCAGAAGGACGAATCTGCGAACCGGGTACTTGTGGGAAAAAGTCATKAAGAGTCCAGAATCTTACAATACCAAAACTCGAGGCGGCGTCCAAATCACCCGATTCAGGTAGGAATGAAAAACAACCGTCGTCATTAAGKATACGCTCCTTCAAAACGTTAGCCCGGGCGTTGATGCCGAGAGGTCGGGGGCAATTGCAATGGTGGCATAATATTTTCGTATTGGCTGATCGATAATGACCGCAAAGGTCGTCATGCTGGGGGGTATCACCATTAAAAAAGGCCACAGCAAATTTCAATATGACACTCCAACTACGTCCATTCCAGGGAAGGTTGGACCATTGAATTCCTTTGGATGAGTTACATGTCTCTTTGAGGCTATTCAACGCAGCGCGTAAGCCGGCGTGGAGATTATTGACATTTTCAATTGACTTGTCAGCCTTGTCACGTTTGCCTGAAGGATGAAAATATATAGTCTCCCAGGCATCGGGTCTAGATGAGCGTGTCAAATTGTTGAAAATACCAAGAGTCATATTAAGCGGTGTTAGGGAAGTGAGACCATTGTTGTCGATGGCAATTCTGTCCATGCACAGTATAATTGGAGCTAGGATTTCATTGTTTCCCGGGTTGCACTTTCTTTTCCATGATGTCTCTATCCACCATGAAGGAAGTTGGGTCATTCTGGTTTGGGAAAGAAAGGTTGCMCTCCGTCACCAGGGTGACATTTGTAAGTAGGGAGTGAAGAGCTTTGCGAAAYGACCRCACGTAAATTTGTTTGCGACCACAATGAGATGGATCAAACGAAGCTTTGTAGTGCCAATTGATGACAATGGGCTTGAAATCACCACCTTCTATTTTGGGTGCGGTTTTGTACAATTCTTTCATTGCAGATTTGTGTGTTTTGAATAAGTTCCCTTGACACCAGGAAAAGAGTTGTTGACTCTCGGCTTCBGCTGCCCATTGATAAAGCTCTCTCTCAGCAGCAAGGGGAATGTTGTGGTTACGCATTATCTTCATGAGCTTGATCTTAACCTTCAATTCATTGGAAACATGGGGGTGGTGATTGGGCGTAGATATGGGAGGAACGGAAATACGTGGTGGAGTCGGTTGGTTCAAATTTGACAGGGAATGGCGTTCATTGCTGTCTAGCACATTGTCGTGTGTTTTCTCGGAATTGTTGACAACAGAGAAAGGGGACGAAGGTTCAAAGGAGGATGTAGCGTTATCAATCTCATCCTCCAACAAATCACGGTCAATGTGTGGACAGGTTGGGTCAAACATAACCTGCGAATCTTTCGGGCAAAGCAGAACCTGGGCCATTTTGGGTATTCATAAGACAGAATTTGTGGTCAAGACGAGCCTGAAATTTTCCAGGATCAAAAACGGAGCTAGAGAAATCCTTTACACGTAGTAGTGGTAGGAGCAGTCATCGTTGTCACTTAGATGACATAAGAGCTGTCGTGATGTTACAACACCGTCCTTTTGCCTTCTAGTTGCAGAAAAAAGTTTGGGTCGCTTGCGTTTTTTTTTGGATTTGTTGTTCTGTTCTTCCTTTTTGTAACACCATTGGCAGAAAACTCTTAGCTTGGGCGACCGACCCATGACAGATTAATTAGTAAGTTGTTGTGTTTAATGGGTTCTTAACGCAGTGAAGAATATAGACATGTAGCAAAATTGGAAAATAAGAAATCTTGAGAGGTGACATATTCTTTTTTCCAACACAAATGGTTGTTTCAAAGGCTACCGATATGTGATATCTTGCACATGATGAAAATATTATTGTTTTCAAGAAAATATATTGCAAGACAAGATAGCACGGTGATACACAAATGAAAAAACAACGCGGGCAAGATATAACCGGGGGTAACTATGATATTAGAGGCTCCTTTACCGCGCGATTAGCGCGACACCATGAAAACGGTTTATGTGACGTTGCCATTCTCCTGTCGTCCTGCTCAAATGAGAAGAACCGGCTGCTTGAACAAAAGAGGAGCTCCATCAACCAGCTTTGTTGCTCAACTCCACCACAACATGGAAGGGGACAAGCTTAACAAACACAAGAGCAAAATTGATTTACTCTTCTTCACTCTTCAAGATCAACTATGTCAAGTTTGTCTCCAGGAACAAGTGGTAAATGATGCAATTGTTTCATGACCACCATAAACTGCATGAATGCTACTAACCAAGTGTCTTTAGGATTGGTTCACAACAAAATGTCTGATGTCTCAGATGGGCAATTGGCACTAACATTAAGTCTGGTACTACCCAATGTCCAGAATGGGGTGATTATCTTCTCAATCACAATGTACCTTACAAAACTCAAATCCTTCATGAAATATCACAGATTCCTCTCAAGAAAATGCATGGCAGAGGATATATCTGACCTATTTGGCACMCTTGACAACAAGAATGGCATTAGAATCTTGATTATTTGGTGTCTCTGGATAATTATGCAGCAGCTGTCAGTGGAAAATTTGATTCTTTTATTTAAGATTGATTGCTTCCATGAGCATCATGATAGTACTATCAAACAGCTACTTGTGCTGTTTAGTGGGCCCTTGTTTTAGATCCATTCAGCCAGTATGCTTGTAAGTTGCTGCCTGCAAAAAGTCTGAACAGCCAATTCTTTTATTTGAGATCAATTGCTTCCATGAGCATGTAATCATACAGCCCCTTGTGGTATTTATATCCTTTTTTGCATGTCATATCTTGGTTCCTTGTTTTTGCATGCCAGTTCTTAGCTCCTTCTTAGTGACTTCTTGTAGGCAAGCTCTCATTTCAATAATTTTTTGGAATGTACCCAAGCATCTTACACCTCACCTCCTCACCTCACAATTCCTGTCTTCTTGTTTCCACAAGAAGCAATCCCAAGTGTCAATTAAATAGCAATGGTAGTAAGCACATTCCTTTAATCTCCCAAGCAGCAGTTGCAGGATCCCAAGTATCATTATTGATT